GATGCCTAATTAGGTATATGAAACAAGATTTAGGTAGTGGTGTTATTAGGTAGATATACTTTGTTACATGAGCCAGATGCAGTCATTAGCGGCGTGTCAAAACTTAAAGAAACGTCTCAAAACCGTGGAAGATTTATGCTGGGCTGGGTAAATAAAACATATCCGTACCTAATCCCTATCCATCGCGTGGCTGTCTTTGACGCGGATAGTGGTAAGCTGACGATTGATGGCCCGGTTTGTGTATTATACGGTGACGCGCAGTAAAACTCAGCCGATACGACATGGTTTTCCAAAGCTGGATTTCTCCAGCTGTGCTGTCGACTAAGCTATGTTCTTGCCTGTAAGTTAGTGCCTTCTATTTATTCTATGCATTGCTCAATGCTCAGTAAAAGATGTGTTCTCGAGTTCCATTATACGGATCTCGAGACATGCTATCTGATACAAAGATATCCTATACCATTTAAGAATGACGATTAATTCTTTAACACATAAAACGGCTCCCACCACATGTAGGTATTAGGTACCTACATATCCGAGATAAGTTGACGATTATACAGTGAGTTATGCAAAGGTCTATGATTTATGAAACAGACAGGGTCAAATTTTATCAGCGCAATTCACGCGTCTCGCTGCGACAGAAACACGATGTACGACTCAAGAAAACTGTATAATACCGTGTAAGTTTATGTCAGACAGTAGCGGCGGAACACCTTCAATTAAGGGGGGGGGGGGGGCACTGCCGACTTTTGGTCCCATTCTTTCCATGCAACGCCCATAGGGCTAATGTTAAAATGCCAAAATCAAAGGGGGGGGGGGGCACGGTGCCCCGGTGCCCTCCCCGTTCCGCCGCCTATGATGTCAGAAGCTGATTGATGTGGTTTCAAACATGAGGACACTTAAGCAAAATACCAAAATTTAACCCACGAGCCGCTGGGGGGGGGGGCATAAAGTTGCCCCCCTTTACGTTTTGTGAAATATCTCCGAAACCTGATAAGCTACGAACGTGAAACTTGGCATAGCTTCAAATGAATACCTAGGCAATGTTTGAGGGAAGTTTCGTGGTTGTAGCACCTAAGATGACGTCACAGTGACGTCATAAAGTTTTGTCGTTTTCCGATATGGACCGTTTCTGATGACGCTGAGCATGAAACTCAACTGCAAATGAACTAGACAGCACCTGCTGTCATCCTTAAACATCTAACTACACTTCCATCTAGTTTCTGACCAATAATCGACCCTTTATATTCGGTCCCATATATCTGATGTATCGTGAGGAATATGAGAGTCGCAAATCTATGATTTCACTTATGACGTCACTGTGACGTCATTTCAAATGGGATCGACACCAAATTTGGACACAACCTCGGCTAGGTATTCAGGAAGATGTGTACAAAGTTTCGCTTCTCTGTCTCTTCGCGTTGCGACGATATCGTCGCAGAAGTAAAGGGGGGGCAACTATATGCCCCCCCCCAACGGCCGGCGGGTGGCGCGGAGGCCCAGCGGGGTTAAAAGACCTATCGAGTATCGAATATTTTTTTACGCGATGTTATACCCATGAGGTTATTTGTATATGAACGTCTAAATTGGGAAAATTGGACTTCTGATGACCTCTGGTGGCCTGACCTCAAACTTGACACATATGTAAATGACCAGGTATAGTCTTTCTTGAAAGTATCGCGTCTCGAAAGTATCGCTATCGCTCCCTGGAGTAGAGCCCCTGGCTATTGAGGGCTGGCCGCCTGGCCGGTCCGTAATGTTTTCATGGTTTCACGGGATTTCTTCAGGCTTTGTTAACGATCCCTCAATTGCCGCTTACCGTTCGTCACAACCATTTACCTCCATAAGCGAATAAAAGTTAAGAGCAGGCACCTCCCCAATCCGAATCGAATCACTCAAGTCAAACAAAGATCTATACCATAGCAAGGGAACGCCGTGTACATACGTTTTGAGGGTATAATACTGAGGCCAGTTTAACCAACAGAAAAAAACCGCCTGCCGGAATTTTTTGCCTAAAGACCGCTTCACATACCGAGCGTAATCGGTAAAGCCCTATCCGCTGACGTGCCCACTGCCCATCGTGTTTACGATATATCCGCTGACGTGCCCATCATCGTGTCTTTAGGCAAAAAAATCCGGTAGGCGGCTATTTTTATGTTGGTAAAACTGGCCTCAGGTCACCTCGGCATGGTGTAATCGGGACGATCGCCACTCGCTGCAGCCCGCGGCCAAAAGGAACGACTCCGAGAATACCTCTGAGGGATGACCTTGGAGGTTTAGGAGCCTGTCCTTCGAGACGGGCGCAGATAAATCGACGGGTGCCATTGGCCCGGCGTGGCTGCCGCGGTCCACCGTTTCTCTCGGACACGTTGTTAGTTCTGCCTGAAGGTAACCTATTTTTTTCCTTCACGAATGGTAATTGGTAAATGGCTTATCCTATGGTGTATTTTAAGAACAATTCAAATTAGATCGGCGTTGAGAATCGAATCACTCAACATTGGAGAATGTGCACGCACGTAACCTGCCACGCATCCACATGTTGAATGTGCTTTAACATTTTGTCACCGCACATGTGCGTTGTGCATCGTGCAGCACTTATATCAGACACTGCTGTTGAAGTTCGTGTAAATCAAACGGCACACATGCAGCTATTGAGCAGGCATCACCACTTCTAAATAAAATGTGTGGGTAGGTACTGTCAATCACTTATTCTTATGGGCATACCCAGCTTGCATGCCCGTTGTCCATGCGTGAGCATTGAATAGGCACGTTTTACGTTACATTCGTGGATTAATGTTTTATGTTGAATGGGTCTGCCATCCTACATCCACTTTTTCAGCATGCTATCGCTTTACTTGCGAGAGCGAATCTTTTTCGGTTAAAGCGATTTATTCAGTTTTTTTTTCGTGCGACATTAAAGGGACCCTCCCACCTTCAAAAAAGTTAATGAATTGGCACGAAAGTGATGTCGCTCGGTTCAGAAAGAGCGAAAACGAATATCTACCAAATTTCATCGAAAAATATTCACCGGTTTTCAAGATATTAGACTTTTACTTTTGTTTACTTTTTGGGATCTCCGCTGTTCCTAGCGATTTTATTTGAAAGTGCGGCATTTGTTGCGCGCAAAGCAGCATATACCACCGCGTGCTACCAAACGTTTTAGTAAAAGATTTAAAAATCGTTAGATCTCCGCTGACGTCACAAATTCTAAGGGGGCATACCAATGCACTAGCCCCTTAGAATCCGAAAACTGCAAGTTTGAAATTCCATATCTCCGAATTAAAGCATTTGTCGATGTTGTGAGTGCCCAAACCGGTATTTGCAGGCCATGGCCACCAATTTGGCTATCTCAACTCAAAACTAATGTTAAGGTGGGAGTGTCCCTTTAACTCGCCTCCCTACGCCGATTCGAAACACGATTAAGGGTCGACGCACTGTAACTGATTAGGCCGCCTCACCTTTTGCAGGCCTCACCTTTTACGCAACGAACATACCTGAGTCGATTATTCCCACTAAACGCGTACCCAGCAAAGCTTCTGAAGGCCAGTGCCGCCGCCGGGAGCCGACGGAAATTGAAATGAGCCCTCCTCAGCATTCTTCGGTCGAGGCCGTGACGTGGCCGGGGGCCGTTTGTTTACCAGTTTGCCTAGTCTGAACGGCAGAGAACATTGCTGACGCGATGGCGGGGGCATCGGTGACGGTAGGCGGATGCTGTTTTGGTGACCTCAGATACGGGCGATATGACTCTTGCTGTGTCAGCTCAGAGCCTTCGCCCTTGGACTGTGACTTTCACGTTTGTTTTCCTCCGCTCGGTAGTTGCTGCAAGGCAAGCCCGCGGGTCGGCTGGGTCTTCGATAGAACGTTCTCCGCGTCTTATGGTAGAGTAACCAGCCATAAACCCGCCGTTACTATTTTTAACGGAGAACGATGAGGGACAGCTAACGAGATGAAGGCCTCACAGCTATGTGAGATTAGTCCCTTCCGGAAATGTGTACACGTACCTATAATCACTGGCTTGTTTTGCATGCCATGGCCCTGCTCTAGTACACTCAAGGTTACCTACAGTAAAGATGAAACAAATGTCATCACATTAGGAAAGCATTTAAAGCTGTTTAATGAACGATCCGGCCCACCATAAGCTAATGATCACGATTCTATTCACGATCACGGCTAATGCATTCCGGAACTAATTGACTTCTAATAGGAACGATTGTATACAAGCAATCGCCTTTGTCGTCGAATCAACCGTGTGATCTGACATAAATAGACACATTGCACATCGCAAAAAGCGCGATCTAATGAAGTGGCACGAGGAAAACAGATCAACGTCTTCAATATCAATGAGAAGAGGTGAAAAATAGAAGAGGTGCGGCAGCATCCAAACTGAAAAACCTCGACGAAGCCTATATGATAAATCCGCGGTATATCCATGTGAATTCATGAAGGCTTAGCAAACGACTGGAAACTTTGCCAAGGCGGTAGATAGAGATTATTGGTCTGCAAATCTTGACACTTGGCGGAGATAGGTACGCACTGCTTTATTGTCCGGTAGTTCGTGCTCACACCAGGTTTAAATAATTATTGATTATTGATCGGTGGGAAATATAAACACCATGCTCAGGTACTTCGTTATTTCTTTACGTGCAATGATCAGTGAGAACCAACAAATCCTTCACTATCGGGTGAAGTCAAGGAAAGAAAAAACATCAGACACACAAGGTACAAACATTAAACCTCGGGGACACGGGGACAATATGGACGCGCTTATGCCGTCCAGCACAAAAGTATGAACTTAACTGATGCTGATGAATAACCATTCCACTTCAAAATTCATCAGATGAACACTGAAACTGTCAGGTCCAAACAGTCGAGATCGGCAGCCGATGTTCTGCTTAGCTGTATGATTATGTTATGAGGTTAATTAATAACTTACCTACGTTTAGCGTGCGATACCTGAAAGGTCCGTGGCTAAACTGACCTTTTGCCTCTGTCTTCTGTCGCAGATCACCTCAACGTGACGGAGAGTGCCGGCATCCAGGAACAGCCGCCGCCAGCGGATGACCCTGGCGTGGACCGGACGGGGTCAGAGCAGGACCCGAGGTCGGGTCTCGAGTCTGAGCCAAACTCCAAGTCAGGCAATGAGTCCGACACAGCCTCAAGGCCGAAACCTGAGTCAGAATCGGACCCCAGGTCAGACCCTGCAGCAGAGTCAGACTCCAGGTTGAGCTCTGAGTCAGTGACTAGGTCGAGGTCGAGTCCTGACTCGGAGTCGGACTCATGGACAGCTCTGAAGGCAGCTGCCGTGGCCAAGTGCGATCCAGAGACGGCGGCAGAGATTGGTAAGTCCGAGGCATGGGCGTCGAAACCGGGGGGGACGGGGGGGACGCGTCCCCCCCAGTCGAGGAATCCGGGGGGGACATCCCCCGCAAAAATATCCCCATGAATGATTTAAAAAGTGACCTGCGACATCGGTGTATTGTCGTTTTGGGATGAAATTGCGGATACCTACTCGTATACAAATTGAATCTGCGAATTGCTGCACTGAAAACAATTTAACCCAAGGCCGGCGAGTAAACCGGTGTTTCGCGGGTACCCCTATCCGCAACCATTTTCAACCACCCTCCCAGGAGTACAGTAAGGTCCCATTGCAGTGTAGTCATCCCTGCTCTCGGTGGATATGTTCGCCGACAGCGGTTATATCCCCTCAGAGCAAGTACGACTACACCGCAATGGGACCTAGCACTACTCCTGGGAGGGTGGTTAAAATGGTTGCGGATAGGGGTACTCGTGAAACACCGGTTTACTCGCCGGCCTTGGGTTAAATTGTTTTCAGTGTGACACTGTACCCTTGCTTACAGGGCTGCGGAGTAGATGATTTTTGTAACTCCGACTCCGGCTTAAAAAAAAAACGCTCGGAGTCCCCACTCCATCTCCGACCACGGCATCCCTCGGCCCGTATCGGAGTGAAAAAAACATGTGATGTGATGCTTTTGTCTCTGAACATTTCTTGGCACATTAAAAGATAACATTATCTACGAGGTGCAGCTCTGGACTGTCCGTCCCAGGTCATCGATAGGGAGCCAAAGCTCCAGTTGTAGGGGCGACCATATCCAACAAGGGCTGAAGATCTGTCCCAAAGTCTCAGAGAGCAGTAGGACAACAGCTTGCAAAGACCACACATTTTACATAGGATATTCGTAATAGTCAAGACCTTCAGCTCACTCTCAAACGGCCCTCTTCCCGTTCGAGGCCATCCGACAGCAGAAGGTCTCACCATGGCCTTTGAACGCTTGATGCTTGAGGGTGAGAGGACCTCGTCCTGGTCTGAGAGAGCCCAGGAGGACGTAATGCTCAGTATGCCCCTACATTGGTCTTACCATGACCCCTACAATCACCACAGCCAACAGAATCTCCAGCTCTTATTCGACCCATCCTCGGGGATGACGTTGACTCTGACTTCAGAGTTGAAGTCTGTTACGATTTTGGTGACTCCAACTCCGTATCCGACCAAAACCGTCGACTACGACCGAAGTCGACTCCGACCCCGCAGTCCTGCAGCTACACTGCACAGAAGTTGGAAAAAAACTGTACCTATGGTTGACAGCGGTTTACAGAGGACCACACGATTTTTTAGAGGCAGGGCTGCTGGACTTGGTGACCAGACCCTAACTGTCCTGGTATCAAACTTAATTACGCGGGATGCAAAATTTATGCGTTTTGGGACTGTTTTGCCAAGAGTTTTTGCCAATTTTCGCGGCGCTTCGCGCCGCCAATTCATGCACAGGTAGAAAAGAGTGTGACTAATAACGCCTCCACGCGAGAACATGAGAACATGTGTATTGTGTATGCGTTACAAGTAGTGCATAGGCCTGAAATTGTACGCTAAACTAACTAACTTTTGGGTTTTTAGTCAGCCAATCCGTCCCCCCAGTCAAAAATCCGTGGCGACGCCCCTGGGAATACCCCTCTGAATGTATGACGTCAGCGCAGATATCTAACGATTTTTAAATGTTTGACTAAAACGTTTTGTAGCACGCGGTGGTATATGCTGCTTTGCGCGCAACAAGTGCCGCACTTTCAGCTGCCAAACTATTGCTTCCAAATAAAGTCGCTAGGAACAGCGGAGATTCCAAAAAGTAAACAAAAGTAAAAGTCTAATATCTTGAAAACCGGTGAATATTTTTCGGTGAAATTTGGTAGACATTCGTTTTCGCTCTTTCTCAACCGAGCGACGTCACTTTCATGCCAATTCATAAACTTTTTTGAAGGTGGGAGGGTCCCTTTAAACATTTCTCAAATCGCTATTATACTGCATCGTTTGACGGCGGCGTTATCGGACAACTTTCTGTTGGTGAGATATTCTGGTCCTTTTTATTTTCACACAGCAAAAAAGGCAGATGCGTTGCGGGAGCTTTCGACTTCATTGTTACAGGAAGGCAATTTAGGAGCCCTAACTGAAGGCACCTAACAATGTGGGTGTGCATCTGTACTGTCCGCCAGTACCAAACGTGGCCAGGCATTCAGTGAATTATCATTATCTGCAGCTGTGGCAACCTTTGTCAAATAGGCATTTCGGAAAGCTATCGAAGTAAAAAATGATGCATGAGCACTATGAGCAGTGCGCAGTGTGTACATCTGTGGTGTTCCCATAGCGCTTTTTCTTCTCGCCAAAAATACGGGCTGGCTCTTGCCCGCGAATTTGAGTGAATGCTAAGAGTTCAGACTAATAGGAATGCGATGATCGCACGAGTTTTATGTATTGTGCAACAATGCTGGCCAGCTAGCAGCTCAGCACGTCTATTTTTCTTATATGCCATATACGGCTCGTTGCAGCTTGCAAGGCTCCTTGTTTATATTAATACGTTGTAAACATAGCGCTAAGGGCCTATTAGATCATATTTGGCACAAGCCTGATATCAGTCCACCATTCAGAACAAAGATAAACAAATAACTTATGGAAACAATCTATAGAACCAGTGCAACACATCACAGCCCTGCCTTACTATACGTTCCTCTACTGCAAATATTCGACAAAATGCTATCGAATGCTATTGCTATTTGTTATTCATTGCATTATTAAGGTTATTTTATTACCAACTTTCCCTCACTCGATTTTATATAGGCATAAAATACATTCTGAGAGACGACAGAATATAAGTATGTTTACCGTAACCAAACGTTAATTAACCAAACGTTAAGTCCTTAAAAAGAGCTTAGGTACCTGTATGTATAACAGGGTGTGCGTGTTTGCGGAACTCGCACCAAATGCTCACAATATGGTTCGAATGAAACGCACATTGCAAAAACACATGCCTATACTTTGTTGGGAATGAGTCAATGGTGGAACTCGGATAATTTAATTCGTATATAATTCGCGAAGTTTGATGGTAAGTTTATGCACTAAAACTTGAAGTAAAATCAATTCACCTTCAAAAAGGGTTGCAACAATATTTTTTAAAAGACGTTTGGTCACGCCGAGGTAGTTTTTATCGGATAAGGGATAGAGTTTATATTTCGTTCATTCCGGGTGTTGTAACATCTAACCACTTACCTTACCTGTCTCTCTGTTTCTGGTCGGTTCGTTCATCCCTCGCCCCTATCTTACCCGATCCCTGTGCCGCCGGCCAGGCTACGGTCACATCTCGCCGTCATCTGCGGGCGGCCAGATCTTCTGCATCTTCTACTCTCTGTTGGGCATCCCAATCAGCGGCCTGCTCCTGGCCGGCCTCTCGGACTTCTTCGCCGGAAACCTGCTCAACTTCTACGACTCCAAGTGGCAGAAGAGATGGGGTGAATCCAGGTGAGTTCAAATCGAGTCGCGGGTGACTGTACGAACAGTGCCAGCTGCAAGACAAGGGACTATCACGGTTTGCTGGGGCTACATGTCGTCGGATTCGAAAATCGGAGCGACGTCGACCAGCCCGGTGCTCGCGTGAAACTGATCGCATGGTGCGGTGCTGCCACCTTCCGAGTGGAGCCTTGGCTAAACGAGCACGAGAGGGCAGAGCGAACAGCAGTGCCAGGGACGTGACCGCTGTCAAATCACAGCTCTGGGGCTCGTACGTGCGCCCTTAGCTTATCTCTATTTTACGATTATTCAGCTTATATGGAGATTAATGGAACTCGGTAGCGTCTGTTCTTATTCAATGCTAGAAATCTTTCAGCGTCGCCACTTCACACGGGCTCCGGCTGCTGGTGCCGCTGTCTAATACTGTATGTACTGTGCCCTCAGATGGAGTCTGGCCGGTTTCACGGCTCTGTACCTGCTGGTCGGCTTCCTTCTATTTGTGTTCGCCCCGGCCGTGGTGTTCACCTGGCTCGAGGGCTGGAACTACCGCGAGTCCGTCTACTACGCCTTCATCACGCTCTCCACCATTGGATTCGGAGACTACACCGCAGGTCGGTACTCGGTCGGATCTTCAACTCGAGTGTCCTATTCCTATTCATTAGTACATATTTCTCATCCAATCATTCTGCGATTGACCACATAGTTCGCCTTGAAAGTGACATAAGGAAAGGATACAAAAAGAAACATCACACTTTAGCAATTTTTTTGGACATCAAAAACGCTTTTGATATGGTCCATAAGCCTGCATTAATACACAAAATAGCACAACTTGGCATCAGAGGACATATGGCATTCTATCTCTACAACTTTCTGTCTGGAACCAGACGTTTCCGCTTGAAGATTCGCTCTATTTTTTCAAATGTTCACGAGACACAGAATGGCCTTCCTCAGGGTAGCTGCCTCTCTCCAATTCTATTCAATATTATGATTAAAGGAAGACTGCCACCTTCAAAAAGTTTTCTCAGATCGGCCTATGATTTATTCCCTGGACAAAACAAAATTTTAGAATTCACCTGACAAAGTATCATCACGTGAATCGCGAAAAAATTGTCGATTATCATACAATTATCAATCGGTTAATGTCTAGCGACAATGATTACACATCACTAGACTTCAAGGTCATAAGATTATTACATTTTATTTGAAAAAGTAAGGTATTTTATGATTTACTAATATATGATTTCATAAGAAATTGGCCATGTTTAATTTATTTTGCATTTAAGTTCGTAAAACATTTAAAAAATCATGGCTCATTTGGAATGGGTCTGGCCCATGTTAAACCCCATTTCCCACACTTTTTTGGAAAAAATGAACTACTGAATATATAAGTTTAACTTTTATTTTGACACTCCAAAATTCTTCTCTGATCTCGAAACAATCAAAGTTTTGACATATATTTACCAAAAGATAAGAAAATTCATGTTTCAAAGTTATCGATAAACAGTAGAGATGTCGGTTTTCTTGGACTAAAAAAATGGCATCAAACTGAACTTTGGTCTCCGATTTCTCGCAAACGGGTTCGAATTTCGGAAAACCGACTTCAGTCTGGGACATAGGTGGCTCAGCTCTAGTGAAAACCGTTTTGTGAAAAAAGGTGGCAGTCTACCTTTAATGATTTGTTCAGCAACATCCCAGACGGCATTTCCTTCTCTTTGTTTGCGGATGACAGCGCACTTTGGTGTACCGACTCTGATTATGATTATGGTATTCAACGCTTGCAATTCGCTCTCCATAAAGTAGAAAGGTGGTCAGAAACATACGGCTTAGAATTTTCGGCAGCGAAATCGGCACTTATGATTTTTTCCAGAAACACCAGGATTTCACCCTTGAAGCTTCCAGAATTACATGGTTCCGATATTCCACGGGTTTCAAGTTTCAAGTTTCTGGGGGTCGTTTTGGACTCCCAGTTAACAATGAATAGGCACATCAAACATGTACAAACAAAATGCAAAAGAAGACTGAACCTTTTCCGATGCCTCACAAGTACTCCAGCTGGTGCTGATCGTTCAACTTTACTCCGTTTATACCGAAGCATAGTATTACCAGTAATAGAATATGGATCAGTTATGTATTCTGGAGGAAGCCGTTGCTCCTTACAGAAGCTAGAGGTCATACAAAACAACTTTATTCGTCTAGCTTTGGGTGCCATGAGGACATCGCCAATACTGTCCCTACAGGTGGAGGCGAATATACCTCCCCTGCATATTAGACGAATAAACTTGAACTTACGATATTATACAAAAATAAAACAGTTCCCATCTCACGCAGCTTACCAAGCAATATCGATTCTTCCTCGGTTACACTTTACCTACATTGGGAGATGTGAACGAAGAACTGGCCTCACAATCGCTTCCAGAGTTACAAAATACCAGCAAGATATAGAATATAACTTACCTGAAGTTACTCCACTACCGCCCTTGGGAGTGGCGCCATGGATGATGCAACCATTAGTTATTTCGTTTTTGATCACCGAGAAAAAGGACTCATACTCTCCGACTGAAATACAGCAAACGTTTATGAAATTCCGAGCAGCACACACTCGCTTCCATTTTCTGTATACGGATGGATCGAAACAAAACAATAAGGTAGGCTTTGGCATTTATTCTTCAGGCCTCCCACATGCAAAGCTGAGGCTACCTGATGAGTCATCAGTATTCGCGGCGGAAATGCATGCGGTTTTGCATGCACTTTAACTCATTGAGCAAAACAGTATTCAGCATGCATGCATTTGCACCGATTCAAAATCTGTCATTCAATACTTGAAAAATCCAGAATTGACCCAGCACATCAAAATCAACATTCTAAACCTTCATGAAGCATTAAGGAAAAAAGGGGTACAACTACATTTCTTATGGGTACCAGGCCACTGTGGTATCCACGGAAATGAGGAAGCAGATAGATATGCTAAGCAATCTCTGGATCTCCCTATCGTAACTGAAACTTCCATTGATATTAGTAGTATTCAGTCTTCAATAAAACGTCATTGTCATCAACTTTGGCAGCGCATCTGGGACACGGATGGTCCAGGTACACACCTTCATCGCATTAAACCACTTATAGCTCACTGGGAATCATCAACTCGTCCGTCCCGAAGAGAAGAAAAGGTCTTGACAAGGTTGCGCATAGGTCATACATATGTAGCCAGTCACTGCACTGCCGCACTCTCACATTCGGAGTCACTCACTGCATTTGTATTGGCCGTCACTCCAGCATCAAGGCCAGCACCATTCTGCCGGCCATCGGCCCGCGCATCCCCGGTCTCGGCGAGGTCACGTGGTCCAATACGTCACAGGGCCCCGGGCGCCGCGACCGGCCACACCACTCGTCTAGACAGAGTCGGGGCCATGCCACAGAAATATACGCAGTAATTGCTACGGCTACACTCTTCCCCCTCATAAATACATTAGCAAGCTGTCGGACTCCCGCAATCAGAACCGTGAAACAAAACACAAACTTAGCGGCTACAACTGCAGGCACAACACGACGCCAAACATATCGCGGCGAAACAGTCGATCGGAACGGCACAGCTACCAGCGCCCAGAAGCGCGGCCGCGCGGGTCCCGCATCTGACCGGCGCAACATCGCGGGGAGACGTCCGACACCAACAGAAACTCTCACGGACACAGCCACCAGCAGGACACAGCAACAAATCGCGGCGAAACCGTAGGATAGGGCGCACAACCACCGGCGCTCACGATCGCGGCCGCGCATGCCGCGCATCTTCTCGGAGCTACATCACAGGAAGACGAGCGCCGGCTGCGGGCATGACCAGACGGTCAGACTCGGCACACACGAGTCCGGGGCCTCCCGGTCACTGGAGTCAGTTGCACTAAGCGTCTGATCGCAGGGCACTGCAACAGAGAGTCATTATCAACGAGCATAATGACAAAATTCATGGCACATAGTAATCGGGTGGTTTACGCAACCGAACCGGACGCCGCCGCGCACCACCCGGACCCAACTCAGACTCAACAATTGCACCTGCATCGGAGTCCACAGACGCACCTTGACTCCCACTCACAACAGCGCCAACATCAGAGCCCGGAACAGTCACAGTCACCCCGCTCATGATAATGAACAGAATCACCCTGCGCATTACCAGAGTCACCCCGAGCACCAGCAACATCACCCAGAACACCAGGCGTGGCACCGGCATCCACGATGTCAAACTGGACACCAGCAGTGTCAGACGGGATCTCAACAGCACCAGAAGGGATCCCAGCAGCGTCAGGAGGGGCACGAGCGGCGCCAGACTGGACACCAACAGCGTCAGGATGGGCACCAGCAGCGCCAGGTGAGGCATCAGGAACGTCAAGAGGGGCCACAGAGGCATCAGGAACGTCAAGAGGGGCCACAACAACGTCGAGAGGGCCACCAGCGGCGTCAGACGGGACACCGGCGGCGTCAGACGGGACACCGGCGGCGTCAGACGGGACACCGGCGGCGTCAGACGGGACACCGGCGGCGTCAGACGGAACAACGTCGGCGTCAGACGGGGCATAGGCGGCGTCAGACGGGGCATAGGCGGCGTCAGACGGGACACCACTGCACACAATCCACTCCCCTCCATTGTTCCACACATCTGACACAACATCAACACAGGTAGACACATCCGGCGCTGTAACTTCAAGGGAACCACGATTATCTAATGCACTGTGCGTTCCGTATCGACCGGCTTTGGGGACAATTTGCTCGGCACGCACATCAGGAACACCATCAACATCAGGTCCAACAGACTCGGACTCGGGCTCCTCAGACACATCTCTCGGGGACACAGCTCGAGGCTTTAGCCGATTATGGTGAACCAAAATCGTTTTACCATTGCCATCGAGCTTTACCCTGTAATTCATATCGCCCACTTTCCGGAGTATCGTAGCGGGCTTCCAAGGTCTCAAGAATTTGTAGTACTGACCAACGGGAACTACCGCTTTGTGTAGGTAAACCAGGTCGCCTGGGTGAAATGTGAACTCGTTCAACTTACTTTCATAAGCTCGTTTGTTGCGAGCGTGCCGGCGATCAGATGCAGAGATGGCAAAGTGGTGCGCCAACCGTAGACTAGCGCAAAGCCCGTCCACATACTCTGCCACTGATCGACTACTCGTCGGCACTGGCGCACTCAACACCGCCTCCGCTGGCAGTTTTGGTTCGCGCGCAAACATCAGATAATAGGGTGAGTACCCCAGCGAAGAATGGATTTGGGCGCGGTACCCCAGCATTAGCAAAGGGAGGTGTAGATCCCATTCCGTGTGATTATTGTCGAGGTACTTTGAGAGCATGCCGAGAATGGTACGCATGAGGCGCTCAGCCTTAGCGTTCCCCTCTGGATGATAGGACGATATTTTTGACTTTTCAATCCCCAGCAACCGACAGGTTTCCGCGAGAATCGCACCTGTAAAATTTGCAGCACCATCAGAATGCAGTCGCCGAGGGCAGCCGTACCTGGCAAAAAACTCATTGACCAGAGTTGAGGCTACAGTCGTGGCCTTCATGTCAGGAAGAGGGTATGTTTCACACCATCGTGTAAACGCGTCACACACCACAAGCAGATGCT